GAGCATATCTGGTGGGACGGGGATGTGAACTAGCAACTCTCAGATTGCGAGTCAAGGGTCCTAACCACCTGGCCATGCCGGGCCATTTTCACATGTGAAACGTTTTTGTAATGACATACTGTTTGAAGGAACTCCATTTATTGGTTACATTAAATAATGTGGGTTAGCATAGATAGTATGTTTTAGAAATTCAAGTAACCAGAAGAATGGTGCCTCCATAGTATATAAAGGTTAAAGTTTTTTGTAGTTGTGGAAAAATGACAGAAAAATGTATAATTCATTTATTTTTATCCTGCCCATTTAAAAACAATTATAATAAGTTTGTGTAATATGTTTATAAAAATGTTCAAATATTAGTGATAAAATAATTTTTCTGTTTTTGACATATACAAAATTTACTCTCTGTTTTTAATTATTAAAGCTCGTAATTATCTAATGGTATTTTCTTCTTTTATCTGAAAAGGATAATACAGTAATTCTAGCAGCTAGATATGGTATATATTTGAAGTTATACAAAAGAAAAACATTTTGTGCTCATGAAAGTTTTAGTATGTCTAAGGTCATAAACTTTTTAAGAGTGTGTAAAGGTAGTTCTGAGATACTGTATATCAAGTATTTTTAGAAAGGCACTTTGTGTTAATATTTTCAAAAAGCTGAGTATGTTGTAAAATAATTTTTGTAAATTGTTTTATACATGTACATCATGACATGAAAAAGTAACTTGTATTTAGCAGGTGGTAATAATATAAAGAGTTTTAAATAAAATTAAAAAGTAAATATTGATATAACAACATATATGAACTAGTGATTGTAAGTAGAAGGTACAAAATTCAGTAAGCATACATCTTATGGGTTTTCAGGCAAGACAAATCAATGTATCAACTGATGATGCTGAAGTCAAAGCAACATTAAGGCAGCTGGATGAGCCCATTTGTAAGTAACGAAGAAGAAAAACTTATTTAAAATACCTATAACAGTTATAATTGCATGTTTTTTTTAATTATTGGATTTAAAGAACTGTTAAACTAGAAAAAATTTGACCTTGAAACCTGTTTTTAATAGACATCGCTTTTCATTTTCTATGGATACCATCTATTTTCTAGTTTTGTGTTTTGCAAGTTTTTGATTGAACATTTATGTTTAAAAAGATGTTTTTCAGGAGGTGAACAGTATATTTCAGAAGCGAATGGGGAATGAAAAATTTCAAATTAAAGGATGTTTAGAAAATTAAAAGTTGAAAGATTCTGTTTGTTTTCCAAAAATATTAACATTGCCTCATTTATCTGAACTCATAAGGTTTTCACAATTTTTTTATTAGGTTTATTTGGAGAAGGACCTGCAGATAGACGAGAGCGTTTAAGACAGCTTCTCGCCAAGTTAGGAGAGGATGCTGTCAGGAAAAAAAAAGAAGAGGATCAGAAACAAGAAGAAAAGGAAAAGGAGGTAGACAGATTTTAATTCTTTTTTCTATTACTTTTAGTGTGTATGTAAATGCTTTTTAAAGTTAAAAACATACAGAGTTGGAATACTTTTAAAAAATTGTATAACTATTTTTTCATAGTTTATAAACCCCAAAGTTAGACAGTTGATAGTTATTTATAAATAACTTTTTATTGATAAAATTGTGTTAAAAATTATTACTCAACAAAATGCTAGCTTATTAAAAATGCTTTTGAAATCTTTGCATATAAGTGTTAAGAAGAGGAACGGAATCAAATAAAGAGAATTCTTGTAGCCTATTCCCAGGGTGAATGGAACATTTTTGCCTAAATAATTTTTCGTATGTCCCAACTGCTGAGTGTTAGTCAAATGGCAATTTGTATTTATATGTGTAAAGTAATGTTTTTGTTTAGGCTTTAATTTAACAATAAGATCAGTTGTGTGTATATCAGTATCTTAGCAAATGATATTCATAATTTAAAAGTTTGATGTTTTATTTGACTTATTACTAAAAACGGAGTTCATCAAATGAGCATCTAAGTGATTTTATGGTACAATTAAATTCCTGTATGTAAGTTAGCTGTTGGTTAATACTTAATGTATCATTTGTAGTTTATTCTTAATAAGTTGAAGTAATATTTAACTTAGAATTAAAAACAAAGTAAGGGCAATTCCATGGTAACAGAATAAATAATATTGTTATTAATCCTTATCAGAATTCTGAGTTGTAAATGACTTACATAAAATTGATAATAATTACACATGACTTAATCTAGTTCACACCATAACAGTTGTTTATGCAAATGATGATATAAATAGTGCCTAGACCACTACTTTGTGTGTCATATCCAAGCCAGTAAGATGAGCCCTGGTTTCATCAGCATTGGATGTAGCAGATATAGTGAGGGTTAACATATTATTATTTATTCTTCCTTTATCTCATAAGTACCTAGAATGTTACATGATTATAAATAATCTTTCTCAAAGTTAAAGTATTTTGATAACATTTACTTCACTATCTAGTAAAATAAAAAACTGCTTCTAAATTTGTGTGTTACTTTTTGCTTGTGTGAAAATATATACATTACTCAAAACAATTATAAGGTAATCAGAATTTGTAATATTATGTCTGACAAGGCGAAACCACTGTTATAAAATTATGTCAGTCACACCCACAGTTCATTGTTATACAAATCATGTATCTAATGATCAGTCATGGCATCTGAAAATGATTCATTATTCAGCGTATATATTTTAAAACATAACACTTTAGCTCTTCAATCTTTTATCTTCTCACATTTTGTTTTACCAGATTTGTAATTTGAAGGTCACTCCTCTGTGTATAATTTTCTAGGAGAACTTACTATCCTTTCTGTTATTCCTAATAAGAATTACTAGGAATTACAGGCTGTTATGAATTGGCTGAAAGTGTCATTAGGTCAGACACCAAGACTAGGGATATCATCAGTCACCATTTGTTGATTCTGGCTTGCCCCAACTAACCATATATAAATGGTTTGAAATGTAATTCATGAGGTCACACTGTATGTCAGATGCAAAGCAAAAAACAGCTTACCTGGAATGGTGCCAAGAAACATTCAGGGGCCCTGTGACTTGTGAAACAATATTCTGTATACAGATGAGTCACATTTTACTATGCAGCAAATAAAAAATATTACTCACTTGAAGAAAATTTAAAACTAGATACAACCACAGTTTAACAAGAGTGTGTGAAACATGTGATACTGGACGAAGAATGTTATAAGCAGGAATGCACTGAAATGGATGTATTAGGTCATCAAGAAATTAATGTTGCATTTTGAAACACTTTCATTAACCAACCCCCAAATAATGTATATCAAGTATAATAGTTAAACAAACTGCCTAAATGTCACGTTAGTGTAGTCTATATAATGTGTAAAGTTTAGTATACTTTACTCCCTCATAATGATAGCACACGACAAGACACACATTTGGCATGTAATGCTGTTTGAATACAAGAAGGGAAACAATGCCTCTGTAACCACAAAGAATATCAAAGAAGTTTATGGAAATGTTGTGAATATTCAAAAGTGTTAATGATGGTTCAGCAAATTTCATTAAGGTGACTTTAGTCTTAAAATCTGTGATGGCAGGGGCCAACATGTTGGAATTGATATTGATGCTCTGAAGATGCTGGTTGAGTCTAACCCAAGGTAACACACTCATGAAATGGCCCTGAAATTGCATGTCTCTCATGAAAC